TTTTTTTTTTTTTTTATTGAACTACAGACCATTTTTTGCACTCTCCTCTTTCACCCTCATTAATTTATTTATTATTTATTTTATTTATAAAATGTATAACCCGCCCATCTAGACACATATCTATTCTGGGCGGCTAACAATAAAAATAGAATAAAAACAGTATAATAAAATAAAAAGCTATAGTAATGATATAGTTCAAGATCGGGGGGAAATAAAAAATAATCAAGTGATGACAGGAGGGAGGTGATTAAGAGGGAAGTGATTAAGAGGTTCTTTAACTCCTCCTCACTTTCTGACATCAGAATGGCATCATCTGCATATCTGAGGTTGTTGATATTTCTTCTGGCAATCTTAATTCCGGTTTGGGATTCATAATGTATTCTGCATATATGTTAAATATGCAGAGCGACAATATACAGCCTTGTCATACTCCTTTCCCAATTTTGAACCAATCAGTTGTTCCATATCCAGTTGCTTCCTGTCCCACATATAGATCTCTCAGGAGATAGACAAAGTGGTCAGGCCCTCCCATAGTTTGTTGTAGTCCACACAGTCAAAGGCTTTTGCATAGTCAATGAAGCAGAAGTCAATGTTTTTCTGGAACTCTCTGGCTTTCTCCATACTCCAGTGCATGTTAGAATTTTGGTCTCGAGTTCCTCTGCCCCTTCGAAATCCAGCTTGTACTTCTGGGAGTTCTTGGTCTACATACTGCTGAAGCCTACCTTGTAGGATTTTGAGCATAACCTTGCTAGCGTGTGAAATGAGTGCAATTGTAGGGTAGTTGGAGCATACTTTGGCACTGCCCTTCTTTGGGATTGGGATGTAGACTGATCTTTTCCAGTCCTCTGGCCACTGCCTGTGTTTTCCAACCTTGCTGGCATATTGAATGTAGGATCTTAACAGCGCCATCTTTTAAGATTTTAAATAGTTCAACTGGAATGCTATCACCTCCACTGGCTTTGTTGTTAGCCAAGCTTTCTAAGGCCCACTTGACTTCACTCTCCAGGATGTCTGGCTCAAGCTCAGCAACCTCTAGGTTGTCTGGGATGTCCAGATCTTTCTTGGTATAATAAGACATTAGTTAGGCACTAAAAGAGAGGTAAGACCACATGCCTTGTTGTTCTAACTGGTCCAATCCAGTTTAAAATGTCTCCAAATATGTTGCTTATTTTGATCAGCAGCAATTTTCTACAGTGCTAGTGAGTTTTAGAATACACTGCTACTACCCTTCTTCTCAGCTGGAGATTGTAAGAGGAAAGCAGGGGCCTTTTGTGTACAACCCATATGGCTTGCCACTGAGTCACACCTCTTCCCTAGTACAGTTAAAGCACATAACAACTAAAGGGAAATCATTGTCATCAATTTACAAACTAGTAGATTTTTATCGGGGGGCGGGAGCAAAACTGTGCATTTCACTCAGATGCTACAATTCTCTGCACATGCATTTAGTTAAACCACTGTCTGGTTGATCTATGACATGATGGCAAGATAAAGACCCTTTCTGAGAATTCATGGAAGTACTCATGGGGTGGTGTCCTAAGGATGACACCCATGGGATGTTAGAGCAGGAGATTAGAGAAGGACTTATTAAGGTGAAGGCTAAAATCCATTTAGCTTTATCCTAAAGGACTTAAGAGAGCTGGAAAGAACTAGTTCATCAGGCAAAGTATCCTGGATCAGACAACTGTGATCACCTATAAGACTCAGGGTCTATAATGCCAGTTTGAACATGAGGGATTGGCTCTTTTCAGTTCCTGCCAACCCACCAGGATAAAACCTGTTGTGTTTCAAGCTTCTATCCCCTTTCAGTAAGGATTCCAAGACTTTCCTTTGCCTTGTAGCAGCCACTCTTACCACTGACTGCATCAGCTTGGGATGCCAAGATGTAAATGCATCTTTCCATCCTAGCATATTTGCACAATATCTGGGCTACAGCCTAAGATCGTGAATAGTAATATTGTGCTACCTCCTCTACAAAACAAAAACAACGAAGCATTTTGTGGTACCATAAAGACTAACATGTTTATGTAGCTCGATGTCTCATGAAGCACAGCCAATTTGTCAGATACACAGAGTGCAGCATTTATATGTACACGGGAAGTATGGGACTATAGTCCAAATGGTGGCAGTAGACAAGCATGGATCTAAATGCTCGTTGTTAAGTTTTGTTCAAAGGTTCTTATAATCTTCAAACAACCCTTTAATTTCTTAAAAGGTCCTTAATGACCTTAATGGTGCTCTGGAGGTAAAGAAACATAATGGGAAGGGTTATTAAATTCTCCAGGCCATCCCCGGCATAATCCATTAAAGAGTTTGCCTTCTGGAATTTCAGGCTTTTTACTTCTCTAAAATGCAGACTTCAAAACCTGTTTTAACATTCAAGATTTGTGTAAAACCTGTGTAAAAGAATGGTAGAATAGTAGAAGGGTCCTCAATGACCTCAAGGACCCACAGCTCAAGGACCCACACTTAAATCTATTCTTGTCATATCCCAATGAGTGCTTCACAGACACTAAGAAGATCATCCCCATCTTGGTACCATTTTCATCTTTATTAAACTTGATATTCCCTCCCTCTCCGTGTGTCAGAATTATCTATCCACTGAGACTGCACTCCATGCACCCAAAGAAGTGGGTTGCCATCCACAAAACTTTATGCCAAATAAACTTTTGGCACAAACTTGCCTTTATTTTTTTTCTTGCCTTATTCTTTAATTCTTTGTTGTTTTTCTGCCAACAAACTAACTTGATTACTCCTCTGGAAATTTCAGCGAAGCAAGAAATTCCTCCCAGTAACAATCTGTCTAACATTAAACCCGCAAAATAGTAATCATTGTCATCACTGAATTGCAGAGATGGAAGGGACCCTATGGATTGTCAAGTCCCACCCCTGTCAAGGAGACTCAGACGGGAACTGAACTCCCAACCATTGGCTCCACAGCCAGATGCCTAAACCCCTGAGCTATAGTTGAATGAGATGATTCAATTACCAAAAGAACAGACCCATGCATGCTTTTTTCTCTTTCAGAGAAATGCACTGGGGGCTCTGCCAACTACAGGCAATCTCTTTCTATGGTCCTTTCCCCCACCATATCCATCGTTTTTTTCTTTACTAGGCATGTACAGCTTTTCACATTTGCTCAATGGGCAAGATCATGCAAACAATTTTGTTGCTGTGAGAGGCAAGAATAACTCTTTGCCTTTTGCACCTGATTAAATATTAGCTTTTTTTCAAACAATAAGCAATTCTGACTAAACAAAATCAGCAGACAGTCAGTTAATGAATATGCAGGAACCTTCCCTCTCAAGTACTCTATGGAGGAAAGAAACATAATAGGAAGGGCTGCTAAGTGCTCCAGGCCATCCCTGGCATAATTCATTAAATAGTTTGCTCTCCTGAAATTTTAGGGGTTTTATTCCTTTAAAAAGCAGGCTTCAAGTTCTCTTTTCACCTTCAAGATTTGTGTAAAAAAAATATTAGAACAGTGCATGTAGAAAATAATCTCTATTTGTATTAGGTAATATATCTAGAGGAAGCTAGTAGGGGTAGTCTCAGTACACCCCACTGTAATTAAAATTAAAAGGAAATTATAGATAGCGTCTCCCAGGTCTTGAGACATCTGTACTCGTTCTTATTATTACATTCTGTTGCTGACTTCTTTCATACTGTTTTGTCTGTAGCAACAGTAGTTCCTCTACATGCTTTAAGATCCATGAACTTAATAACAACAATTGCATGCTGTCAAGTTGATTCCAATTTATGGCAACCCCTTCCAGAATTTTCCACGTAAAGAGTACTCAGATGTTGTTAACCATTCCCTTCTTCTGGAGGTGCCCTGGGACTGTGCAGCTTGTCCATGACTACACAGACTGGTTCTTCTCTCAGGAGACCCAGTGGGGGATTGAACTCCCAATTGTTAACCATTCCCTTCTTCCGGAGGTGCCCTGGGACTGTGCAGCTTGTCCATGACTACACAGACTGGTTCTTCTCTCAGGAGACCCAGTGGGGGATTGAACTCCCAAACTGGTTCTTCTCTCAGGACACTCAGTGGGGGATTGAACTCCCAACCTTTGGCTCTGCAGCCAGGCACCTAAACCACTGAGCTATGAGCATACCTTGCTAAATTTTCCAGTTAAAGTGAAGTTCCATCAATAGTGAGCAATGTATTCCCTTCCTACCCATTTCAAGCCCCCGTCACTGAATTTGTTGCTATGGGTCCTGTCACCCAAGCTAAAAACCAAAGGCATGACAAACACCTACAAATATAATTCAGAACCTTTGTTTTGGTGAAAATGCATGTTGCCTTAAAAACAAAGGTTCTGAATTATATTTGTATCTGTCCCAGAAGAAAATCAAGATGGGGAGGACCTTAAAGGACAAGTGTTTTTTAAAAAGGGAAATTGCAGAGGCCAGAAATGACTGTCACACTGCAGAAATATGGTTGGCAGTGGCAGCAAATTCATCAACAGCATAGCAGGGTACAGTGAGTTCTTCTATGACTTTAGGAGAGCCAAAGTGTCGCCACTATTGCTGGAGTTTTGCAACCTTATCTAAATCCAGCAGTCTGTTTCCAACAGTAGACAATAAAGAATAATGAAAGTGACAGGTTAATCCCCCTGTAAAGATTGTTCGATAGCCAAGGTCCAACTAGACAAGACAACCCTATCTCAAGACCCCCATCAACCCCACCTCTCAAGGAGAGACAAGAGGGCCACCTATAAGAAACACAGACCTCATCTCCCAACATCTTATCCTTGCAAAAACAGCTATTGTTTTACAAAGACTCCTGCAAGGTTGCCCCCATCTGAGGGAAGGAACAGACTGGCACTGTCAACTAGTGAATGGGAATGACCACTATTTAGAAACCCATTTATGAACCTCCTTGTTTGCTACATCAAAGCCCACAGAAATGGCACTTACTTGAGCAAGTTCATCCACCCCACTTGCTGTTTTCACCAGCCTCACTAGGTCCTCTTGCATCTTATCGACCCACCGCTTTATCCTACAGAAAAGAAGAAGGAAAGGAGAAAAGAAATGTCCCGTCAGATCAATGGTATATAACTATGAATATCAGAAGCACAAATATAAGCTGACAGAGTGATTCTCATGCAGCAGAGTGATGCTGAAGTCCCTTTGATTTTTTGTTGTGAAGCTGCTCTAGTCACACTTTTCCACTTCATTCTCTTATATGCTCTTTCTTATAGAAACTCTGTGCATATTGTCCATAAAAGCTGGTTGGAAGGAACTATTTGTGATTGCATAGTGGTGAAAAGGAAGACCAAAAAAATACACAGGGTACCTAAAAAGATAACCCATTTGACCTTTTCAGAAATGTTGGGGAAGAGGTGAGATCAAAAGAGATGATATTATTTTCCTTTTCTAGAAACACTGATCTTACTTTCTTTGGCTAATTATAGGAGAGTCAAGTCATTTCACTCAAAACTCTAAAACTGGAAGCATTAACTACAATTTCAAAGCAATTTGTGATTAATTTTTATTCATTTCTCAAAAAATGGGGGCTACAAAATTGTTTACTAAAACAAGCTAAATGTATTATAGATATGAATACTCATTACTGTCTGTTGTCCACAGGGTAAAGTCACATGATAAACATCATGTCTGAAAAGTTTTTTTAAAAAAATTTCAAAATTTTGCAATTTAAAAAAAGTCACAAAGAAAAATATTAGAATAGATTTGAAGATTATGACAACAACCACCCAGCTGTCTAAGACTTTTGGTGGGCTTTTGCAGCCTGATTTGGCCTTCTTGTCATGGTGAAATAGGTCTTTATACAACAACTAGTTCACTCTCTTTTGGTTTATACCTAACAGACATTAACGCTTGTCTTCCATAAATTTTGCCTAGCGCTTTAAAAATAAGACAGAATAAAATGAAGCATCTCTTGTGATGGACTGTAATAATGAAGCCAATCAGTTAATACAGTATGAAGACTACAAAGGTACTATTTCGTCTATCCTGAATCTGCTACTACTGATCAAATTCACTGGGAAACTCGGAGACAGAGAAAATAATAAGGCAACTCTAGCACTGCATGTTTGTCCATTTATTTAAATTACAGTGGACCCTCTACTTACGGAATTAATCCGTATTGGAACAGTGGCTGCAGGTCGAAAAGTCTGTAGGTCGTGTCTCCATTGACCTACAATGCATTGAAAACTGATTAATCCTGTAACTGGCCATTTTTGTTCCATTTTGGCTTTTTTCTGGTCTGTAGGTCGATTCTCTGGCTGCAAGTCGAACCTAAATTTTGCAGCCAGAAAAGTTTGTAACTTGAAAAGTCTGTAAGTCGAGCCGTCTGTAAGTCGAGGGTCCACTGTATTTATATGCTGCACTTTCCTTATAGGGGACCCAAGGCGACTTACAACAGATAAAGCAGCAGATTTTAAAACACAATTTATGTATCATATTTTAAAAACAATAAACATATATTAAGATTAAAAAAAAGTTTAAAAACAATTTAAAAACACTTAAAAACTTGTAAGTAAAAAAAAAACAGCTTTCCTGAAATAACTTATTGCTTAAAAGCCTGCCTGAAGAAAGTCTTTGTTTGGCAAAGAAGGACAAGAGGAAAGCGGCCAATTTGTATAGTCTGGCTGATAATTCCTTTCCATGTTATCTCTCCACAGAAATGAGTGACTGAGACTCTGATCTTTTTACTTCTTCTATTGCAACCTTTTCATTGACACCATTATTCACAGTTCTACCTTTCTGTCCTTCCACCTTATGAAAGCCTTAGGTCTCTACTTGTGCTTTTTGCAGAAATGGACAACATAAAATGGCAATTGTGGGATGAAAACTATTGCTTCCCTCCCCTTCCCCAGATAGGAGTAGCTTTTGGTAGAATACATCTACAGTAGAGTGAATTTTCCAGGGAAAATTTTTGAGCACCATACCAAATGTACTATGAAGGACCTCTTGCATTAAGGGCATGTCTTAAATAGCAACTCCAACTCCTTTGTAAATGGGTGTGCTTTCCTTTGAGATCTGGGAGAAAAACGGTTTGGTGAAGCTGGTCTGTTTTCTGCAGTGACTCTGAGGACTCTTACTGTGTTTACTTTGCTCTTTATATAGTTTTCTGTTGCCTTAAAACTTTCACTAAAGATAACCTTCCACTTCCCAACATTGATGGTTATATTACTCTAGACTTCATAAAGCAGAGAAACTCCCACAGAGAGAATAAAACACTTTGATTCAAAAGAAAAAATTATGGTTGAAGCTATACCCCAAATCCAAAGAAATTAAACACCCCCCTTACTCAAAAGACAGGCATATTAATGCACCTCTTTTTTTTCTTTTTCTTTTTCTTTTTCTTTTTTCTTTTTTAACTAATTTTCACCTCAAGTAAACACAGGAGGTCAGCTCCTCTCTTTGATTACCCAAGGGGGGAACCCTCAAATTGCCTACAATTAAACTCATTAAACACAATGAGACTATGCTTTAATGTTTATTAGTCCAGTCCAATTCCCCCACAATATCATTAGAGTTCTCAGATCCCAAATCAAAACAAAACAAACTGCAATGTTGTCATCCAATGTCTGGTAAGAGAGGAATAACAAAGAGTGTGTTACAGTGGATACTAGCATCACACTGCTAATATGTTGCTGCTAAAACAACTTGAAAATGTGACCTTTTGGGGACTACAACTTTGACTGAGTGGTTCTGGGAATTGCAGTCCAAAAAAAGTAACATTTCCAAATGCTCGTTGGTAGCTATTAGCACTGTATTTCATTTTGACTCTCTGACCCCACTGGGGACGCATTCCATGAACACTGGGGTGGCTAGCTGGTTGGATTCTGCTGCCATGTTTTCTTGAAAGTGGAAGTCAGAGTGCAGGATTCAGTGTCCATGTCTGGAGCAGGAGAGGTTGACCTATGACTTTACTTTCTTTGCTTTTGGAGGCAAAGCTTCAGTCATACCTCTTCGCTTTAAACTGAAGTGTATGTTTCTTTCCCTTTTGTGGAATATTCTCAGCATAGCCCTGCTGGATTCATATAATGATGGTAATATAGTTATCATTTCTTATTAACACTTTTTAGCACTCTGAACATTCTCAATTAGCTGTCTTATAACAAGTACAATTTTTCTTTGTGGGTACAGAACTTTTAAGGAATTAGTTTCAGGGGTGACCAAGCTATATTGTAATTCTGATTAAAGCTGCAAGAGACCAGGCCATTCTGGTTTTGAAAATATTAAGTCAGAAATGTTAACTGCACTGGCTACCAGTCCATTTCCAGGATTTTGAAAATATTAAGTCAGAAATGTTGACTGCACTGGCTACCAGTCCATTTCCAGGGCCAATTCAAAGCACTTGCCATTACCTTTGACGCCCAACAGAGCTTGCATCTAGTCTGCCTGAAGGACTGTATGTCCCCATATGAGCCTTGTCAGCATTTAAGATTGTCCTCTTGGTCTCATTGCCAACACAGGCACAGTTGATGGGGACATGAAAGAGAGCTTTCTCTGTGGCAGCTCCCAAGTTATGGAATGCTCTTCTTTGGGAGATCAGGCTGGCCCCCTCCCTTTTATCCTTCTGCCAACGTCTTTTCAGGCACACTTTTAACCATCACAATTGAGCCCCTGAAAGCCCTTTTCAAGTTAAGATAGGTTTTAATGTTCACTTGCTTTTAATTATTCAATTTATTTTAATTAACACATAGTTTAATTGCTTTTAAATATTTAACTTATTACATTTTTAATTCTATTCTTTTTATTATTGTGAGCTGCCTTGGGTCCCCTTATTGTGAGAAAGGCAGCCTATAAAACAAATGAACAAAAGAACATGTTACTCCTGCAGGTCCAGTAATGTTAATAGCAATCATCTCCAAGACAGCTAAAACATCTTCCGTTTTTGGGTAAGTGAGCTCTGCCTCAATGATACTAGTCAATTCAGACTTCACCAGGATACTAGTAAGTTGAAGTTTCTTGATTATTGTTTGTTGTAGTACTTTAAGCAAGTGTGGTCATAAAGGTAACAGTTGGGACAACTATAATCTATTCTGATAAATTTAATTCTGCTATCTAATGTTTTACAGTTTCATTTTAGATAGTCATATTTCTGTTACTTAACTACCCCTCCTGCAAAAAGCAAACAATATATATTCTTAATTCTTGCTGTAAAGAGAATAATCTTAAAACATTTGCTTAGTAAGTAATGTTGATTCTATAAAAATTAGAGAACACACGTGTGCATACACACACACATGCCCAGCTATACTTGGTAAAATTAATATGAGAAAAAACACTTTTAGAAACTATAAAAACATATTTGCAGATTCCTTTCCCTTAAAATTCTAAAAGCTCAGTAGCTCTCTTGCATTTTTGGAAATGAGGAGTTGGTTCAAAACATCTATTTTATTTTGTGCCTAATTATCAAATGCTAAAACTTTATCTGACAGAGTTTATGTGTGGATACATTTACAAGGAAGTAACAACAAATAAACTCAGGAGAGTGAATATAGCAAATGCCTGATCAAGCATACCAGGAGTTCGTTCCTTAAATGTGTCAAGAGACGAAAAATAGGAGAGGGAAAGAAAACAAGAACCCTCAGGACCCTAAAATGCTTGTCTGGTGTTCCGTTGAATGCTAGCCTGTGGTGTATATCTGCCTGACAGCTGCTTGTAGTCAGAGTTTATTTAACAACAAGAAAAATGTCACACAAAACGTGAAGTCCAGGCCTTAAGGAGACAGCACTAGATTTCTTGCTGCTGTTCAGGATATCAGCTTAACAAAGGTTCAGGCAAAGGGGCCTTTTCTGGACTGTTCAAGCAGAACATTAAACTGCAATGAAAACCATGTCAAAAGAAAAGAAAACCCATAGGAAGTCGGAGAGAAATGGCTCATTAGAATGACAGCAGCCTTCACCCTTGTCAATATACAAACAAAGGGGACACCCTGTGTTAATGCCCTATACAAGTTACTGGTGAGTTTTTAAAAGGCTAATAAGGATTACTTGCTATCAAGTAAATTTCCAAGGTTTTTCT